TTATTTTTGATCGTCTTCAACAAGCTGGAATGACAATCAATGTCGCTAAATGTCTTTTCGGTCAAAGCGAGATTTCTTTTCTTGGTTACTTAGTTTCTAACCAAGGAGTTAAACCTACATCCGAAAAAGTGAAATCAATTATTGATTATCCTAAACCTAAGACACTTCATGAATTACGCAGATTCTTAGGAATTATCAATTATTATCGTCGCTGTCTCAAGGATGCTGCAAATCATCAAGCTCTGTTAACAGAATATTTAAAGGACAGTCGCAAGAGGGATAGAAGAATTATTTCTTGGACTAAAGAAGCGGAATTAGCTTTCGAGTCATGTAAAGAAGAACTTTTACAAGTTACTACCCTTTCTCATCCTGCTCCTCATGCTCCTCTTATTTTAACTTGTGATGCTTCTGACTTTGCTGTTGGTGCATCACTTGAACAGTCTATTGACGACGATATCAAACCAATAGCATTTTTCTCAAAGAAACTAGACAAAGCTCAAAGAAATTATAGCACTTATGATAGAGAACTTCTTAGCATTTATTTGGCTATTAAACATTTCAGGCATTTTGTTGAAGGAAGACAACTGATTATCAGAACTGATCATAAACCTTTGATTTTTGCTTTCCGTCAGAAATTGGATAAAGCGTCACCAAGACAGATCAGACAATTGGACTTTATTGCTCAATTCTCTACAAATATTACCTATATTTCTGGAAAAATGAATTCAGTTGCTGATGCTCTGTCAAGAATTGAATCTATTTCAATGCCTATTATAGTTTCTTTAGAAGAACTTGCTAATTATCAGAAAGAAGATGAAGAACTTCAAGTTTTACTTTCTTCAAATTCTTCACTTCTGTTGAAGAAACTTATTTTTTCAGGATCAACCATACCTATTTATTGTGATTGCTCTTCGGAATTAATTCGTCCATATGTTCCTAAACTCTTACGCAAGAGAATTTTTGATGTTGTTCATGGACTCGCTCACCCCAGCGGCAGATTGACATCTAAACAATTACTACTGAAATTCATTTGGCCTTCTTTGAAAAAAGATGTGAAGGAATGGACTCGAACTTGTCTTTCATGTCAACGTGCGAAGATTTCAAGACACACCAAGAATTCTCCAATTAAGATTGCAATTCCTGATCAACGCTTTCAGCATGTGCATTTAGACATTGTTGGACCACTTCCTATTTGTCAAAATTACCGTTATTGTCTTACTATGATTGATCGTTTTTCCAGATGGCCTGAAGCTGTTCCTATTTCTGAGATTTCTGCTGAAACTGTTTCTACAACATTTTATTCACATTGGGTAGCACGTTTTGGTTCTCCTATCAGCATTACAACAGATCAAGGTCCTCAGTTTGAAGCAGCTTTATTCAAAGCTTTAACAAACCTAATTGGATGCCAAAGGATTAGAACTTCTGCTTATCATCCTGCTTCAAATGGAATTCTGGAAAGATGGCATAGGACTTTGAAAGCAGCGATTATGTGCCACGAAACAACCAACTGGGTAGAATCTTTACCTTCAGTTCTTTTGGGATTACGTTCGTGTTTCAAAGAAGATTTAAAAGCTTCACCTGCAGAACTTCTTTATGGATCCACTCTTCGTATTCCTGGAGAATTTTTCATTGAAGAAGATTTTCCTGCAGATCCTGAAATCTTTCTTGAAAAACACAGGATTCATATGAGGAATATCAGATCATCTCCTACAAGTCATCATTGCAAAAGATCACCTTTTGTTCACAAGAATCTTTTTGATTGTACTCATGTTTGGATTCGAGAAGATACTGTTAGGAAGTCACTACAACCTCCTTATTCTGGCCCTTTTCCTATTGAGAAACGTATCTCTGATCATTTATTTGCAGTTAATGTTTCAGGAAGAGTTGTCAATATTTCGACAGAACGTCTCAAGCCAGCCTTCATTCCTAGAACTTCAGATTCTACTGAACTTTCTACCAGATCTTCAGCTCCTGTTCCTGCTATTTCAACTCCTGTTCCTGCTATTTCAACTCCTGTTCCTGCTACTTCAGCTCCTGTTCCTGCTACTTCAGCTCCTGTTTCTGCTACTTCAAATCCTTCTTCTTCTGCTACTGTTGGAAAAGCTTTACGCACCTACCCACCAAAGAAGAAGAAAGTCCATTTCGCAACGAATATCGTCACTTGGGGGGGAGTACTGTAGCATTCATCATCCACACCTTTCATTTACACTCTACACTTTTATTACACCTTACACTTTTCACTGCACTTTTACACTTTTTACATCTTTATACATTTGTAATAACTTCAATTCATTAATATACATAATGTTTTTAAGAAAAATCAATATTTCCATAACAACACATTCATTCATTTATTTGTTACATATTAATTCTTTTTGTTCTTTCGCTTTATACTTTCAATGAATAAACATTACTTTTTCAAAGATCTGGTGAATTTATTTATAAGTCGCTACAACACCACCACCGACACTCGAGACAGGCGCGCGTATGGGATCCACTCCGTAGACCGGAGTGGGCCCATCCCGCCCCCCAAGCTCTGACCTAATAGCGGCCACCACCGAAAGCGATATGTCGTCCCTCAAGTCCCCGAAGCGACGATCCAGAAGGGACGACACATCAAGCGCCGTAAAAGGGCGATCCTCCGCAACCACAGCCCCAGATTCCTCCGCCAAACCAGGCGGGGACCTCTCAACAGAGGGCAGACGAAGCCGCTTCTTCCTTGCGCCCTTGTCCATGGCGCCTTTACCTGAAAAGTAAAATGCCTCGATGTCCGGAATCGCAGAGCGAACAAACGCAAGCTCCTCCGTGAGGCGCTCCACTTCGCGTTCCTGGGCCGAGATACGAATCCTCAGGCCCTGGTTCTCACTCCTGAGAACATCCATGCGAGGATCGGCCTCCGAAGAGGTCCTCGCCACGACTTCATCGAGGATGCCACCCAGCTTCCTTGAGGAGGCTATGAGCTCCTCGGCCATGAAATCTTCAAGGCCAGGGAGACCAGCCACCCTCTCCACTTGGGTGACAAATCTATCCGCCAGTTTCCGAAGCTCCACAGTAGTGAACCCCCGCAACTCTGCACGGTATACCACGTCCGGCGGAGCAACATCCTTGCCAATCGCAGTAAGAGTTGGTCCCAGGGAGGGGTCCAACACTCTACGCGCATACGCAAGCCTCAGCTCATCACGCTCAGCAGCTGCCAGGCGTTCCTTGGCTTGCGCAAGATTGACATATTCGCCCGTTGTTTTAGGGCGACCTCGCTTTTCCGCGCCGCACTTACCTGGAGGCTTCTTTCGGGGGTACTGCCTCCTGCCCATCAGCAACCTCTTATCTAATGGAGCCCAGGTCTTGTCCCTCTTACTTTCCTCATCCTCTGTGGAACTCGCCGATGGCAGAGATATAAAGGATGGCTCCCCTACATCCCGCTCCTCGTCCCCACTATCACCCCTCACCTTCTCCGGTGAAGGGAGAGGCTGAGAGTCACTCTCCTCTTCAACTGTTTCTCCAGTCAGTGATTCTGCGGTACTAACCGCGATCACAGGTTCGAAGAACTGCACACAAACATGTTTGGCGCAGAACCTCGTTTCACTACGCGAACACTCCCGGAAAAAGACGTCCATACATTTCGCGAGGTCCTTATATTCGTGATGAGCCTGATAGCTCCGAACCACTTTATTCAGAAGGACTCGGCGAATCTGCGCAGCAAGTTCCTTCTGGTCTACACTCCGGTCACGATTCCTCCAGCGTAACGCTAGATTACGCAACCGATCGCGCACAGCAGTCCACTCATTCCTCGGCACTGTAGCAGTCCAGTCTGCAGCCCCAGCCGGCAAAGCTGCAGACGACCTGTCGTACGATGACGACATGGAGGGAGCCAGGCCTACACCCCCCCCCCCCCACGCCGGTTCCCGGTACCCGAACCCGGGACGTTCTCTTCTTTTTCCGAACTCATCATGATACTGAAAAAGAAATTGGTTTTTTCTGTCAGGGGTTTTCCTTCCCCTTAGGAGGTTGCCTTACTCAGCTAACGGGGCCTCCCCCCCGGGTGTTATCTTCGGTGTTTTCCTTCACCTAGTGCAGTGGACAAGTCCTTTTTAGGGCCTGCACGCCCATCACACCCCGTTCATCCATCACCACACACTCCAGCTCGGGTACCTCGGGATTGCGACACCCGTACACTACAGGGATGAGTCTGTAGTGCCCCTGAGGGAAGCATCTATATAACCTAGAACAAAACCCTAGGTCAACGTCGGGTTTTATTCTCAAATAGGAGGGGAGATGTAACGTCCAGACAAATTTCAAAATTTCAATCTTTTTCAAAAATTTATCCTTTAACATATTAGTCATGACAATCTCTAACCTACATGAAAGACCGGTATTAACAAATATTTAATCACATATAATTACTCATAAGTTAAAACATGTTTTCTCACAAATGACAATGGGAATAGCTACCCACTTTTAAGGGAGGGGTATGCTAATTTCGATGGAAAAAAGGCATGTTTTTACGATTTTTTTTTGGCGAAACAGATAATGTTACTTTATTTATTCAATTTCCATGTAATAATACAACATTTGAAGAGTAACTTGCTAAATTTTCATCGAAAAATATCGAAAAATACGCGAGTGACAACGAATTTCCGGAGGCGCTTCTAAAAAGTAGTTTGGCGGTGATCATTATAACTCGTAGTAGAATTATCTGAAACCAAAAAATAAAAATGGATTCGTTAAAGGAGATGTTTTTCGAGGTAACGCTGGGAGAAATTTTTTTTTTATTTTTTAATTTTTAGTAGCACTTTGAAGCCAAAATTCTGATTTTTGGTGCAAAAAATCGAGTTATTTGTTTTTGTAAAATTAACAATTTTTAACAAATCAAAAAAAGCTCCCAGGAATACCTGGTAAATGTTGTTAAGAAGCAGTGTGCCAAATTTCAGAACAATTGATCGAGTAGATTTTGAGTTATCGTGATCACGAACTTCGAAAATGGCAAGTTTGAGAAAAACGCTTTAAACTTTTGCACACTAAAAATTTCGAAATAAAAGTCGATAGTTCTTTTATACTCACACAGAATCATCGATACCAGGTCCATACAGCAAGGCGTTTTCATCCAGAAGATCCAGAGCATCTTTTTGTGTTTGTCTCCGCGAAACTCTCCCTTCTTTACTGTTGTAGACCGCTTTCTCGTCTCCTCTAGTAATTCGCAAATCGTCAACTTGTCGCGCCCATTCGTGAGAACTAGGGCCTGTACCGATGTGCATCTCTTTCATGAAGGCCAACAGGGCAATAGAACCTTCATTAAAAGTACAAGCAGCTACATTAGCTGCAATTTGTACGGTTGTAGAGGTTCCACTGTATGCCTTTGGAGAGATTTTCCATATTAGCTGATTGAGGCTTTTGTTATTGTTTTGTGTAAAACCTCCAAGACATCGCTGCAACAGTGCGTCCTTGCTCAAGTCCTCATAAATGGGCTTCATGGCTTCCAGAACTTTAGAAGGAAGAGCTGCGTAGCTGTGTTTGAATGATTTTAGAGCATCTGCAGCTGCAGCTTTTTGCCACTCGCACCAGGAATCTTCGCCGCTCGGGCATTTCTCGTGCTGTGGGTTTTTGTCGTTTGAACTGTAGTGGTAGTATGTCGCCCATATATCATTTTTCATCTTCTGAACTGAATCGGAATTGCGTCGAATGGCCAATCCGTAGTAAACAGTTAATTTGTCTATCATTTTGCCTGTTAATTGTTCTTTTCCAGACAGGATTTTTTTTTATGGTTTTTCCGGTTTTGGTCGTTGTAACAACTACTGTCTTGTTTACCAGATCACGCAGACGCGTTCCCATGCGTTTCTGCACATGTCCTACGCATTCCTTTTTATTTATTACAAAATCTTCACCATAAGGGTTTGCGTCAATAACGCCGCTGTACGTCTTCGAATCGCCATCTCCAATGTAATTACGATATTTCACCCCAAGAGTTTCCAAAGATCGTTGGAACATTTCTACGATTGCTGCTACCTCCATGTTTCCAGACGGTCCGACGTGGTTGGCTTTGCATTCTCCGCTACTAACATGTTCTTTGTGCCACTCTTCATATTCAGCAGTACTGGATTTATTTTCCCAAGTTTTACATCGTTGGCAGAAGCTGCTTTTTACTAAAATGTCAAATACTTTGCCAGTATGAAATCCAATGAGAGAAGCAACGCCAAATAACGAAGCAAACCCTCTTTTCTTCCATGTGCCGTCGCCTGATACAGTAACTTCTGTTGTTTCTTCTAAATTATGCGTTTTACACATTTCTTTTTTTTCTTCTTCTACGGCCGATGCAAAAAACTTCTTGGCAACATTTGTTGTATATTCACACATTTCATCTACATACTTATTATATACTCTTTTCGTTAAAAAAGCACTAGCCAAGTCCATTAGTCCACACAATTTATTGCACCCGGCTAAGCCTAAGCCTAATACTCGCATTGCAAAAGCGAATCTTAAATTGACATCGTATTTTCCAGAATCTATTCTTGTAGAAGATGGAATATAATGAGGCGATGCACAGCTTTTGCATGTCATTTTGATATTAAAACCGAGTCCTTCTTTTTTGCATGATGTGAAATTGACTTCTCCATCACACTTTTTACATTTCACTATAGTAGAGATTGTTGAAAAAACCAAAACAAAATCTACTATCCTATAATGTTTTTGGAGATCTTCTTCTATTTCAATAGCGGGACGATTTTTAATTTTTTTCGACGACGAGCTGCCAGCTGTTACTTCATCGTTTTTACGCTTTTGTGGCGGTATTATTTTTTTTACTCGGTTCAAATACTTTTTACCGTATTTACGATCATCTCTAGTCACTTTTCGAGGCATTTTTAATAATAATAAATACACTCAGTAACAGTTCAAACACAAACACAGTTCAAAATGCCCGAAAATTCAACGAACTCGAACGATAACAGTCAAATTTTTCGACTCACTTTCTACCGTTCAACACGACATACAGCGAGCAACTGATGTATATACCATGTTTTCAATGCACACAAGGCTGCCTAAAAAGACGCTTTCAGCAATAAAGGAATTTAGGGGTTACGAATGAATACAATAGCGTGCCACGACAGCGCGCCGCACACCGGTCAAGGAGGTAGAGAAATACGGCTCGGAGCAACGGTCCTTTAAACGTTCATAACTTCTTTACTTTTGCTCCGATCGACTTGAAATTTTGACTGAATATTCTTGAGATGTTGCGCATTCATTTAAAAAAATTAAAAAAAAATGCCCAAAAAATATTTTAAATAGCATACCCCCCCCTTAAATAATATTTCCATCATAAAAAGCATAATTAACAAGGGTGCTCCGCTCCGGATCATTCGTTAGGAAACATACAAGTTAGAGAATAAGCACGCCTATAGCAAATATATTATTAACCTTAAAACTCTCATTCATAAATTAGGAGACTAAAAAATTCATATGCAATATAACATTATATCCGTCGTACGTTCGAAGGTACTACCAAATAAGGATATCATAGTTCAACCATGAATATATAGGTATTTTATCTTGATTATGATTTTTTCTATAATAAGCACCAATTTACATCTAGCTACAAGAGATGTATGTAAATTGAGTGTTAAACTTAGTCAGGGACAGTTGGCGAATAACCGATAAATCATATGTAGCCGCAGGCACGGTATAATAGCACAAAATTAATGCGTTATTCTCCATATGAGTTTTCCATCAATTTACATGAAACTATGGAATATAAATGTAAATTGATAAGTTTTAACCCTCCATCGCGATTTCCAAATGATAGATATAAATATTAGGAAAAATTAGAAATCCGTTCCTGACGCGAGTTATCTATCAATTTACATATAACTATGAAATATAAATGTAAATTGATAAATTTTACTTGTCTATTATGATTATTTTAATCCATAACAAAAATTTACGAAGTAATACGTTTTATTTAAATCGCAAAAAGAATAGACATATTCTAAAGAATAATACCTAAAATATATAGATATCGTTTGTAAAGTAGTAATTAGGTATGAAACCCGCTTTATTATGTGAACTCGGCTTTACTCTCAAGAAACATCTAGAAGATTCTAGAAGGTTCTAGAAAGACGGTTGAGAATCGTTACATTCCAGAAGCATGATGCAATGCATGATGCAACGCTGAAACACGTTGCAACCTGCAAACCATTATAGAAGGACCGTTAAGAAATATCACTACCAAGAATAAGATAAGGAAGGCCCGTTGCAAGCCGCATAGCGGTGAGTCACCAAAGAAGCACCGCTATCGCTACTAAGAATACGATAAGGAAAGTCGGAGAGCATAGCGATGAGTCATCAAAGAAACACCGCTATCACTACCGAGAATAAAAGACGGTTGAAAATCGCTAGCGATGAGTCATCAAAGGAACACCGCTATCGCTACTGAGAAGCCATCTCTCCGGGACTTAACCGTCGCAATCTCTACCAGGAACAGATTGTCTCCAGTACTTCCCCGGCATATCTCTCTTACCATTGGATTAGCCTCATCACCCGATGGGAGGAGCGAGCCACATTTTACGGTATATAAACCCTGCACCCGGCACGGAACGGCAGTGATTCGCCGAAAGTTGTTCCGCCAGCACAGTCAAGTTCAGTACTTCTAACAACAGTCAGCTAACCAGCCATTACTACGGGGTTCCGAAGACAACGAGACATAGCCGCCATTTCAGACCGAGGTACCGAGGCTCCTCAGATCTTCAGACTCAGAGGGAAGAACACAGTAGCGAAGTGTACCACAGCAAAGCACATTAGACATAGTCTAACCTTGTGAGTATTTAAGCCAGGATGCGTATTAAGGTTGATAGAAAATTGGTACCTTGATCGGTAAGGATAGCTTTGGGAGTTCCATAAATGCAAATAAATTCTTTTGTAAAAGCGTCGGCTATCGTTAATGAAGTGGCTTCTTTTAATGGTACAGCTATGAAGTATTTTGTTAATAAATCTTGCATGGTTAAAATATATTTATTTCCGTTATTCGTGATAGGAAATGGCCCTACTATGTCTAGTGAAACTTTATCGAAAGCTGTCCCGGGGGTATCCGTAATAATCATTGGTTGCTTGGTTTTGACGCGCGTTAATTTCTTTAACTGACATTCGCGACATTTTCTAATAAATTCTTGAATATCTTGTTTCATCGTACTCCAAAAGTAATGAGGTTGAAGTCTATTAAATGTTTTCGTAACTCCTTTATGGCCACCGCATGCTGATGCATGGTTTTCTGAAATTAGTTTTACGCGTTCCGCAGAAATAGGATTGTCAACTAGATTCTGGCAAATAGTTATATTTACGCGGGTGTCATAAAAAAATTTCTTCAATTGATTAACAACGTATGACCAGGGAATGTCATCGAATTTATGCGTTTTGCTAATGCTAAAGGAAGTTAATTGTAATTCGTTAACACAGTCTAATAAAAAGCGTATACAATTTTTCACAGTTTGCGGTTCTATAGACAGTCGATTGTTTGTTCTTATCAGGATTGATATTAAATTATTTAATTTGATTTTCTTTACATTAACTCTTTCAAAATTGAGATTTTCGTATGTGGGTAAAAGATTTGCAGTGGAATAAAGTTTGGCTCCTTTGTCGTAGGGTGATCCTCCGTCTAGACTTATAAAAATTACATGATTATCCTTTTGGTTTAATAAGTTGTCTCTTACTTCGCGTATTCTTACTTTACTCGGAATTACGGGAGGGGGTTGTATAATTGGTATAGTTTCTGAAATTACTGGGTCGACGTAATCGTATTCTAAATTTGAATTTGACATATTTGCATAGTCGTGATTATCGTTATTAAAAATTGAACTTTCATCATCTAAATCAGAATTGTTTTCAGTTATATTAACATAATTAGGGTTATCAATATTATTACTGCGGTAAGGGATTAAAGCATTTGTTTCAATTGATCTGACGGAAGGTCCTGGTCTGCTTGAAAATATGGATTCGTCGGATGATTCGTCATTGTCTGAAGCGAATATTGGTAGAACTAAATCAGTGGGTGGATTTCGCGATAAAGCATCGGCATTATTATTTAGTGATCCCTTTTTGTATTTAATTTCGTAATTATATTCCGCTAGCTTGGTTTTCCACTTCCAGAGTTTGGAGGTTGGATCTTTTATAGAGTGTAGCCAAATTAAAGGTTTGTGATCGGTTATTATAGTAAAAAGTCTTCCGTATAAGTAGAGTCTGAAGTGGCTAATACAATATATGATGGCTAGACATTCTTTTTCAATTGTTGAATAATTTTGTTCCGCGGTGTTTAAAATTCGAGAAGTATATGAGACAGGAAGATCTTTTCTTACCGGTCCCTGACTTAAAATTCCGCCTATGGCATACCCTGATGCGTCGGTAGTTAGTATGAAAGGTCTAGTAAAATCAGGATATTGGAGAATGGGATTTGAACATAACGAATGTTTCAAAGAGTTAAAAGCTTCTACTTGTTTTAATTGCCAATTGAATATGCTATCCTTTTTCAATAAATCTGTTAATGGTTTCGCGACTTTAGAAAAGTTAGGTATAAATCTTCGGTAATATCCGGCTAAACCGAGGAATTGTTTTATGTTTTTCGGATTTTTCGGAACTGGGAAGTGAATTATTGATTTTATTTTGTCCGGGTCTGGTTTGACTCCATTCGCGCCTATTATATGGCCTAAATAAGCTACTTCATGCCTTAGAAAT